GGGAAGTGGGGGAAATGGGGGTTGAATCCCAGCCGGCCCCCCTGCCGCTGCCTCCTGACTGGCCTGGACCACGGGTGCGCCCCACTGTGCCCTGCGTGCTCAGTTTGGCCCTGGAACTGGACCTGGGCCTCCTGCTAACTTTTTAAAAGAGGTTACTTATGTATGTATGTATTCATTCATTCATTCATTCATTCATTCGGAAGAAGAAACAAGAGAGAGAGCCACCTGTGGCGTGTCTGCACCGTGACCCACTCCGAGTCTCCGCCAGCTCAGTTATTAGGGCACACGCACCAGGCGTGCTCAGGAGTGCTCTGGGATGTGACCCCAGGACCTTTCCATGTGAGTCCAGCTCTGTTACTGAGCACCACTGCCCGGCCCCTCCTCGGAAAATCCTCACCTAAATTCTTCCAAAGCGTTGTACCCAACCCTGGGCACACAGAACCTTGTCTCTGCAGATAAAATGAACACCTGTGCCCAGGGAACGTTTCTCAGCTAAGACACTGGTCTGCTTCACTCCCGTTCACACAGGAGCCTGGAGAACTCTGAAGGCTTCCTCCTCCTTTTAAGCGTAAGCGTCAAAAGGTATTCTCAACAAGTAATCACGAGGCTAACACTTCGGCTCGGTCCCTGACAGCGGCCCCCAAAGAAGCTCCGTTCTGAGCATTTCAGACGCCGGCCGGGTGCCCCACATGTGTGGGCACCTGGTGGGGGCTCTCCAGCCTTTCCTTTCCAGGCACCCCTCCATGCTGGCACCCACGGAGGCCACTCTGAGCTGTAGCACATGGCTCTGAGCAGGAAAGTGGGCAGGACGGTCCCCCTAACCCAGTCCTGCTCCTTCTCTCCCGACTCAGGAAGACTGAACGAAAGGCACTTACTTTTCTTATCTGTGGTGTTGTGCACAGTCACGGTCGGAACGCCAGGGCCTGTATTGGGGAGAAAAGAGAAGACAGAAAAGAGACGAGGCTGTTAGTTTAGCTGAGGACAGACACACTTTCCTTCTGACACATGGCTTTGTGGATTCTGGAGAACCAGATCTCAAGGAATGGAAACCAAAGAATGATGGCCAGGCCAGGCCCTGGGCTGTTCAGGACAGGGCGAACTCCACACCCATGTTAACTACAATGAGCCTGACTCGGAGCACACACTTCCACATTATTACAGAGATAACAACATTTTACGAAGCATCGCATTTGGTTTTTACCCTGATAACCTCGATGCTACCATCCAGACACAAATCCCGTGAGCTTCCTTGCATTCTGATAAATTACTCTAGCCTTGGTACTAAGCTGATCAGCTTTCTATATACTTTTTTAAAGACAGAGAGGCAACCAGCAGTTAGTGTAATAGCTATGTTGCTAAATTCCTATGTAGTCGACCATGGTTCGAGTCCCAGACCCGGTGGCTTAAACTCATGCCAGCCGCATGTGCGTGTGTGCCCAAGATCCTGAGAGGAGAATGGAGAAGGGATTGTAGTGTGACCATACCCCCGGGGGATGATTTCTCGCTTTCTGTCTCTCTGTCTCTCTCTGTCTTTCTGGCAAGCGTACATACCTATAGCAAAAACAACAACAACAAAAACAAACTCTAAAAAAAAAAAAGGACAGCGAGACAGGGAGACAGAAAGCAAGAAATCGCTCTCTGGTGATGGCCATGCACAGTCCTTTCTCCTCCATTCTCATCCCAGGATCTTGGCCACACATGTACACATGCCTGGTGTGATTTTGGAGCCACCATGTCTGCGATTTGAACCCTATTCGGCCATGTGGGAGTCCAGTGACATAACTGCTATGCCATCTGCTGGTTCCAGCTAGGTCAGCTTTCTTTTTCTTTTCTTTTTTTCTTTTTTTTTAGAGGTTTTTGCTATAGGGTGCGTGCGCTTGCCAGCCAGACAGAGAGAGACATAGAGATAGAAAGCGAGAAATCACCCCCCAGGGGCGTGGCCACGTCACAATCCCTTCTTCTCCATTCTCCTCTCAGGATCCTGGGCACACACGCACACACGCCCGGCGTGAGTTCTAAGACACCGGGTCCGGGACGCAAACTGCGGTCGACTACGTGGGAATCCAGCAACATAGCCATTACGCTAACTGCTGGTTCCCTAGGTCAGCTTTCTAAAAGACACATTAAGGGTGGCTCCTCCAGTAAGGAAGTCCCTCAGTCCTCTGGTCTTTTACAATACTTGTGAAAACCTAGTAGTGTAACAGGAGTATTTTGAGAATGTTACACTATGTGTTGGTTTCCTCTTGAGTCCCTTTAGCTTATAGCTTCAGCTCCAGGGCTGCTGCAGGGTTGAGAGGTGAGAAAGAAGGTACAACTTAGGACAAAGTGGCCCCCACTCAGCCTACCTATTTCCTTTAGCAAAAGGGGAAGGCAGGCCTGGTTACTCTTCTGAACCTGGCTCTGCCACTCTCCTCTGCTGTCACCCTGTTCCTGCCAGCAGCTGGCCTTGCAGAGCCTGAGGTGTCCACATGCTCCCCACCAGCCTCTGGTGCTCTCTACCAGGAATGCTCTGCCTTCAGACAAGCATGGCTTGACTTTCTTGACACTTAAGTATCAGCTTAAATCCCTTCTCCAACCACACAATTTAGAAGATTCCATTGCAACCATTCAACCAGCCTCGCCCCTCACCTGGCTTTCTTCCCTTCATAGAGCTCATTACTGCACACACGATGCCAAGACCTAGACCTGGCACAGAGAGGATGCAGAAACGCGAAGGGGTCTTCTACATTGAGAGCAGGGGTGGGCAGGGTTGACCATGGCATAGTCCTCCAGAGCCTGACTAAGCTGAGAGGCACAGACTGTGGGGCATGCCAGCAGTGGACATCAGAGCAGACCCCATCCACTGCCCAGAGTCTAGAGCAAGCCCTTCCAGTCCACGGAGAAGGGTCCTTTCTCCCATACGGTGCCCCCTCCCCGTTTGTCCATACGTAAGGTTGCTGGTAAAATGCACAATGCCTATTTACATGTCAATCTGAGATAAATGACGCATATTTTCCGACTGTACACATGCCCATGGCAGTACTTCCTGCATACTGCTAGAAAGAATCCGTAGTTGACTGATGTTCGAATACAGTTGTGCACCTGCATCTTTGTGTGCTGCGTTTGCCTAGACACCCCACTTCACCCTACCCCCCTGATCTGAGCGTCTGCGTGTTCACACCTAAAGAGACAGCATTTACCAAGAAATTTAGACACTGGCTGCAGCTTTAAATTATTGAATCAAACTAAGTCTCCTGGCTCTGAGATCGCTTGCCCCCAGGGGAAGCCGGCAGAAGAGCAGTCCAGTTACAGAGACGCGAGGCGCTCACATCTGTTTTCTCTGCGCCTTTCAGGGTGTGCGAACCCACAGGCAGAGCATGCCCTATGTCCTTATTAATAATGCAAATGATGGTTATTTATTTAGTACCTACTATGTAAAAGGCACTTTGCTAGATGTTCTCTATGAATAATTTCTAATCCAATCCTTACGGCAGTTCTGTAAAGTAGATAGTTATAATCGTATTTTACAGATGAAGACACACCAGTGTAGAGAGATTTGAGTCCTTTCTTTTACTCATACAAGAAAGTGGCTGAGCTCGGATTAATCTCTTTTCATTAAAAAGTATTTAAATTTTACTTACTATTATTTTTAAAATTTGCTATGGATACATGTGCTCACCAGAGAGAGAGAGAGAGAGAGAGAGAAACAGAGAGAGCGAGATACAGAGAGGAAAAGTGAGAAAGTAAGCCTCCAGTCCACCAGCTGGGAGGTCTAGCACCTTAAATCACCGTGTCACCTGCTGGCTCAGACCCTTTTCATTTTAAAATTCATGAGTAATACATGTTTCTAGGAAGATAACAAAGTGACAGGTAACAGTCCCATTTCATTCCTAGGAGTAACATACATTGCTTTGTTTTCTTTTGTTTTGTTTTATTTTATTTTATTTTTTAGAGAGATTTTTGTTATAGGCTGTGTTCACTTGCTAGAGAGACAGAGGGCGACAGAGAGACAGAAAATGAGAAATCACCCTACCCCCCAGGGGAGATGGCCACACCACAATACCTTTTCTTTCACTCTCCTCTTGGGATTTTAGGCATGTACACACAGCACTCAGAGTGAGTTTCAAGCTACTGGGTTCAGGACTCAAACTGTGGTCAGCCATGTGGGAGCCCAGCAACATAACCATTATACCATATGCTGGTCCCAGTTTTTAATATGTCCTAAAATATTTTTAATATGTTCTAAAAGATTTGCTGGAATTTAAGTGGTCATATTTACACATGAACATAGAGATGAAAATGATGTAAAATACTTACATGTACATTTGTAAGCTTTATCATAGCTTAACATTATATGATATTGCCCTAGTTAGTTGTTTTTTTTTTTTTTTTTTTAGAGATTTTCACTGTAGGGGGCGTGCGCCC